TGGATGCCTGACAACTATCTCCCACCAATGAAGACCCTCAGCTACCAGGTGCACAAGGCACAACTTGGATGGGGAGGCAACCAGGTGGACACTCAGTGGTTGCTACACTTGATGATCTTTTCCATCAGTGGTATGTTGTTCCAAATGAGGGCACACTTGGCAAGATCCATGAATGTGACAATGTGAGAGTTGCTCTTGTGTACCAAGAGATGCATGTGAGATGACTCACAGAACAGATCAAAGAGCAACAGCGCCCACTTTTTGTGGTGACTGATGATTTAGAGTGGTGGCACACCTCCTGCATGGTGAATCATTTCCAACAGCATGATGAGGTTGTTGTTGCTTCTACTGCACTCTAGTATGGCACTGTAGATCTGTTTTTGACCTGGTGCAATATCAACGTCTGACAGCAGCATTAACATGATGGCCAATGGATGCTCCTTTTGAGACCATGTGTTGACATCCATCTTGCTGATGACTTCTTTCAAAATACCTGATGACAAAAGCTATTGTGTTACTACCAGAGTGTCTTCTTGCAGAGACACCATGACTGCATAGGACCTCCATGCCAGTCTCCCTGGGGTCCTCGAATGGTGGAAAGTTGAATCTTGACCAATCCACAATGTTAGCAAAGTTGTCTTTGTAGTCCTCTTTCATTGGATGTTGTGGGCGCTGGGATGGGAATGGTCTTTTGGCCTTGTGATCTGTGCACTGAGATGTGCAGAAGCAGCAGCAGCAGCAGTGGCAATGCCAATGTGGTTGTTGCTCCTCCCACACCTGCTGGATGTCCTTCTGGCAATTGTGGACAGTGGGCATTTGTGCTGTTGGCAACAACATGCAACTTCCATGAGACACCAATGCCAGTGATTTGTACAATGCTGAAAAGGCCTTTGCCTGAGTTGTGGCTTACTGACTGTGTGGGTACAGAAAAGAAGCGTCCCTCAATGACATCATTCATGCAGGCAACTGGAGGAATACACACAACACTGGTGTGATGTACACCACACAGGTCAATGGCCATGCGCCCAAGGATGGACACATCTACACCCTTGACATGAACATGCAGCCAATGATTCTTGCTGCAAATTGGTAACAACATTCTCTGTGTATATAGCTGTGAGTTGTTGTTGGCATGCTTGATACATGCCTCTTGACCAACCACCAACTTGCTTCCTTCATTGTCATATGCCACCCATTCATATTCATCATCTTTATTCATGTAAGGCAGCGAAAATGTGATGTTGCCATAGCACAACATCATTGTTCCATCATCATTGATGTTTTCCTTGACCAATTTGGCATTGGCCTGAACCACCATACTTTTCAGACTGTCTCCAGTCAACAGACAGTGCATTTGATACAACAAATCTCAAAAGATCATCAAGAATATCCTTGGTCAATGTAGGGTGTGACATGTCACTGCAAGCAGTCATCCACCAATTTTTCCATGTGTTGGTGATCAGTGTGCAATGATTTTTCAAGCAAGGCAGGACAGTGCCATGAAGAAAAGTGGCACCAAATAAATACATGCTACTAATTTATTTCATTTCTGACACCAGACTCTATTCCACAAACCACTCTTTGGAAATCTGGCACCACATATTGGTACAGAAATTTGTCCACACAAGGACACAGCACATTGTTATCTCCCATACACACATCCAAACATTTCATGCACACAGAGATGGACATTCAAGAACAGCAACACATTCTGCAAGGGTCTCTGAACTTGTGGTCATTTGAAATGAGAGGCAAATGACTGTGGAATTTTTGTTGTGGTAAAATTATAAAATCATGTGAGATTTGACATTTTTGATTTACAGGGCAGTTTTGAAGATTTGGATCTGCATGTGTGATTTTATAAGTGATATTGAGGGACTTGAGATGAAAATGATTTCATAAAAAGTTGGAATTTGTGGAGTTAAAAGTGATTTTTGGAGCTTTGTTGTGGTGGAATTTTAACTTCAGGAATAGTGCTCCAATTCAGCACAAATGTGAAGAATGAAGTTCAGTGCATGTGTGCAACTGACTGAATATGGTGTGAGGTTGAACATGAACTGTATGTGAGGGCAGCATGTTGGCCACTGATTTTGGAATTGATGGAGGGTATGAAAGCAAAAGCAAGGTGCAGTTTGAGGTTGTTCAGAGGAGCACTTACACAAAACAAGCAGATGCAAACAAAGATCAGAATGTTGGTGTGTTGGAGGTTGGTGAGGTTGGTGCTCTCCTGAAAGATCTTCAAGAGCGTGTTCTCACCCAGAGCTGACTGCTTGTTGAAGTGCTTGATGGCCAATTCACTGTTGCCATATGCCTTGACCTTGGTGGTGTAGATGGTGCCCAATGTGCCTTTTCCAATTTTTTTCATCACCTTGACATTGTTAAAGTTGGTGATCCACTTACACCTCTGAGAGGCACTGACGTGAGTGGCACCCTGGTTGTGCATTCCCATAGAGATGGGGTCCAAATTTGTCATCCTCAGTGTTGGTGGTGTCTTGCAACTGCATAAAGGAGCATCCAGAAAGAGAGCAAGGCACAACTGGATAAAAGCACTCTCTGTCAGATTGCTTGAGGGCATTGACCTTGTAATTGTCCAATTTGGTGTGCCCCAATCCCAGGGTGTTGATGGCTTCCTGGGTCAAGAGAATTTGGCCTTCTAGCACATGCATGGTGATCTCTGCCACTCCATTGGGTCCCAGTCTGTGGTAGTTGCACATACCCATCAGTCTGTCTTTCCAGCAGTGCACCTCTCCAAAGTGGATGCCCACACACACACAGGGTCCCCTAAAGAGCACTCAGGTGTTAGCACACCCATGTAAGGCTGAGCCTGGTACGCCTCCCTGAGTTTGGTCATGGAAGACTGGTCTGTGTCACCCAGAACAGTCCATGCCAGCTGAGCAAACGTCATATCACCTACTTCCTCATTGAAGGAGTAGATGGATGCCTCCAGGTGCTGAAACATGGAGAAGTTGTGCTCCTTCCAATGGTGAAGCAGGTGTAGGTGGAGCAGACAACTATGTGCATACTGGAGATGCGCCTCAAGATCCTGTGCAACGTTCTGCATGGCCTTGAGTACCTCCACAACAACAAGGTCATCCACCATGATCTCAAGAGCAGCAACATCCTCATCAACAACAGCTACAATGCATGAATTGGCGATCTGGGATTTGCCAAGATCAAGCAAGAAGGCAAGACGCTGACCCAGTGTGGCACTCTGGCGTGGACAGCACCCAAAGTAAGCACTGGCCAAGACTATGATGTGATGGCTGACATCTACTTGATTCTGTCATGGGGTTGTGGTGGCCATGAAAGAAAGATGTGCTTGACCTGATGAGTGGACCACAATGTACAGTGGATGGCGCAAGATGGGCAAATCCTGTGCAATGTTGGCAAAAATGAAAGTGTTGTTTGCAATAGAAAATGGAGAGTCTCCTGGTGGAGGTCCTACTGCACCTGGTGAAAATCATAGGAGGGGGCTGGATCAAAACTGTCAATGCCATATGGAACAAGTTGCCCATGTGTGGAGACCAACATTTGTCAATAAAAACAGTGCAATCTGGACAGAAGGCCACAGCAACATTGAATCCACTGACAACTGGAAAGATTTGTGGTGCAATTATCATGCCCTGAAGACAAGCAAAGATGAATATACTGCTTCATGTGCCATCATGTCATTGAAGCATTATATGCCTTCAGCATTGATTGATGAATCTGCACAAATGGCAAATGGGCGTGTGAGTGATCAAGATATTCCAAAATTTTGGCAGTGATCTCTGTGGTGGGGATAGAAGAAAAAATTTGTGTCTGTTTTGTCTGGTGCCAAATTGGCTGTTGATAAAAAATCATCTGCAACACAGTGACACCAGCTGAAATGACATGACATGCATCAATTCCAGTTGCTCACATGTTGGCACTCTGTTTTTGAGCCAAAGCATGATCACCATGTCCAACTGGAATTGATGCATGTCATGGTTCAACCCACCAAGTATGTTGTTGTGCTGGTGCTTCAAGTTGTGAGGTGGATGTGTGATCTGTTGAGGTGCAAGATTGGAGACCCCATGCTTGTATTTCCCACTGAGGCCATTGAGCAAAAGGTGGAAATGTGGCCCATGTCAGTCATGGATGAGGCGATCCAAAATTCATATGAGGACGTCAAGATCAATGGCGTGTACTTTATCAAGAGCCAATGTCACGCCATGATTGACTACCTACCTCTTGATGAAATCTGGGTGCATCCATTGCAGCAGACTTTATCCCACTGTCCATTGACAACGAGGTGGGACAGGTCATTAGCAAGTTGGAGAACCCTCTTTGTGCAAGAGGTGGATGAAGTGGGCGATCCACGTTTTGACTGCGCTGCAGAATTACTCCATGGTGCCCATGGTCAGAGATCGTGTGGCGGCCCTCAAGGGATTGTACACTATTGTGATTTGTTGACTGGATGTTTTATGGTGCTGAACACCGACCCTCTCCTGCCTACATGTACCGCTTGGCCGCGACTCGAGTTATGGGACAACTGGCAGGGCAGTAAACCCAGGCCTTTTAATTTCACATTTTTTAAAAAAATGTTTTCATCCACTCACAGTCATATGTTCAACCAGGACAAGTAGGTGTTGTGGTGAAAATATCATATTTTTTTTTTGGAAGCAGTGGAAGACGAGGGCATCACCCTCTAGCTTCGCCAGTATGAAGTCAAGAGAGACAGAGGAGACTTGCAAGCTTAGTTGCAGGTGAGGCCGGTGAGGGTGGCAGTGGGGACGGCGATGGTGGCCGACGAAGTCGAGGTGCCGACGATGCCAGCGCCCTGCGAGGCGCCGACCTGGATGGGGCCGTAGGTGGTCGGGACGGCGAAGGTGGTGGCGTCCTTGCGGTTGAGCTCCCAGAACTGGGTGATCGACACGCCCGAGGCGAGGGCGAACTGGACCTGACCGCCGGTGATGGCCTTGGTGCCGATGTTGGTCACGGTCACGTCGAAGATCTGGTTGTAGTTGGCACCGTCCTGCCACTGGCCGCCGCTAGCAGCCGAGCGGGCCACAACGCTGACCTTAGCGGCGCAGCCCGAGGGGGCGGCGCTGGGCTGAGGGGTGGAGACCACAGTCGAGGGCGAAGGCGAGGCGGGGGAGGACGAGGGGGCGGCGGTGGGCGAGCCGTTGCAGGTGGTGGACTCGACCTTGACGACGGGGGCGGCGGTGGAGGCGCCGATCTTGGACTTGACGATGAAGCCGGCACCCTGCGACGCGCCGACCTGGATGGAGCCCCACGGGGTGGGCACGGTGAAGATGGCGGAGGTGTCGACGCGCTGGAGGTTCCAGAACTGGTAGATGCTGACGTCAGCAGCCACGTTGATGGAGAGCTTGACGCCATCGACGGGGGTGTTGCCCGAGGCAGTGATGGTCAGGTCGTAGATCTGGAACTTGGAGTCACCCTCGGTCCACTGGCCACCGCTGGCGGCGGAGCGGGCGACAGACTCGACGGTCACGGCGCAGCCGGCGGGAGCGGGCGAGGCGACGACGACAGGCGAGGCCGACGACGAAGGCGAGGCGGCGGCGGGCGAGGCCGAGGCGGACGGGGCGGCGGGCGAAGCCGAAGGGGCGGCGGGCGAGGTCGACGGGGCGACAGAGGGCGAGACGCCCTTGCAGTCAGCCTTCTCGACGTCGATGCTGGCCTGGGTCTTAGTCTTGATGATGTAACCGAACTGGTACGAGCCGCCGACAGCGATGCCGCCGTTCTGGAGGATGTAGTCGGGGAGCACGTAGAGGCCGCGGTTGTCCTTGACGATGTTCCACAGCTGGTCGAAGAGCGAGGCGTTGATGATGGAGAGGTCGACGGACTTGAGCGCCTCCGAGCCGCTGTTGGTCAGGGTCACGCTCCACTGGGAGTAGTCCTGGCCGTTGACGGTCCAGGCGCTGCCGAGGGTCTGCTTGACGGTGACCTGGCAATCGGCCGCGGCCAGGGCAAGGAGCGCGGCGAAAACCGCGAAGGCGAGAAGCTTGTTCATGTCGATGAGAGTGATGAAGGTGTTGAGTGGGGTAGTTCTGTTGGCTGGGCTGGTGTGTGCAACAGATAGAGAGCTGATGAGTGAATATGGACGACTGTGAGGTGGCCCGTTTTATAGCTGGCTGGGTGCGACGCTGGCGGACAAGTCCCAGTGTAGAGGTCCACTGGCATTTCGCATGTTGGTGTGGTCGTTCATCGGAGTCATGATCATTGGCCCAATGGAAAACACTCCGACGCTTAAAATCACCAATCACTGTGGAATTCATTTGAAATTTACTAGTGGGTGCGTTTCTGTATTGGTCGGAGCCAGTGGGTGGAGAGCCGGTGTGTTCCACCAGGCCAAACACACCGATAGAGCCGCTTTTCGGCTGTGCAGATAAACCCACACTAAATAAATATATTGATCTCCCTGCGATATCACATCACGTGTTGAGCAGAGATCACACAAGCAACCCTCACAACCTCGTGTGCCATGATGGTGTGTGTCGTGTCGTGTCGAGTCGTGTCGTGTGTCGTGGTCGCAAGGCATTGTGGCGAGAGTATGTGTTTTTTTCCCACAGTTTGGTGACCTCAGAAGCTGCCCTTGGCAAAGAAGTCTGTCTGGCCGTCGAGCACCGACTTAGTGAATCCGTCCGTGCAGGCCATCCTGATGCGCTCGGCGGTGAGCGGGGCGTGAACGGGCAGCCAGTTGTCGAGGCCCTCGTCCTTTCGCGCGGCGCCGATGGCGTTTCGAATGGCGAACAGCGCCGAAGAGCCCAGGAACAGCGGCGGCTCGCCTGTGGCGGGAAAGGTGTGAGCGATCCCACCCAACACCACCCACCACCACCACACACACAACGCGAAGAGTGGGTGGTGTGTACCGATGGCCCGCGAAGAGTGGATGGCGCTGGGGTTGGAGCTATCCTTCATGAGAGTGATGTTGAACTCGCGGGGGATGTCGTCGCACGACGGGATCTTGTACGCGCCAGGACCGTTCGTCCTCAGGCGGCCCGGTCGCACCCACGGGTCTACCACACGATGCCATCATCACCAAATGAATGTTAGAAACTGTGAACGGATCACCAAGTCAAGGGCGACATTCTTGAAAAGCAAAGGGCCACGCTCGCACGAAGGGAAGCACGTACGGTCCTTGTCACCCCAGACCAGCTCCTCCATCGTGAGCCAACCGGCGCCCTGCACAAAGGCGCCTTCGATCTTTTGGGAGAACCGCACACGTTAGGTTGGCGCCAAAAGCTCAAATAAAACTAACAAAAAAAAGTCAAACATGAACGAAACGAAATGAAATGAGCGAGAAAGGTGTTGCGACGTGCCTGGCCGACGTCGATGGCGGGGTTGATCGATTTGCCGACGTCCATGACGATGTCGGTGCGGAGCGGGCGGTAATCGCCGGTGAGGGTGTCGATCTGGACCTCCGTGGCGGCGACGCCCGAGGTGAAGTAGCAGAAGGGCTTGCCCTCGCCCGTCTCGAAGTTGAAGCCCGACACGGGCACCTTGTAGAAGGCCTGCGCCGACAGGTTCACGCGGTCGAACCAGGCCGCCTGCACCAGCTCCTTGAACGAAGCGCCGGGCATCTTCTCGCGGAACGGTGCCAATCGCTCATTGAGCTGTGGACCCACGGCACTGGCAAGGTCAGACGACGTGCTTCAGGGTAGAGAGGGGCTGGTGGGGGGGACGCACGATCTCGCAGGCGTTGAAGGTGGCCATGCAGTAGAGGTCAGTTCCCTGCGAGGCTGCCGTCGCGGAGGCGTTGGGGATCTTGTCCGTCGCTGTCTCCGACACATGCACATCCTGAGACGCGAGAGAAAACCCCTAATGAATCACACACTCGACACACTCGACACACGACACACACACACGACAAGCGTGGAGCACGCACCTTCATGCCTACGCCAAGGGCGTTGGCAGCAACCTGCATGACCTTGGTGTGCAGGCCCTGGCCCATCTCAACACCACCTTAAGAAGAAAGTCGCAAAAGAGGAATAAAAGTTGAGCCAACCAGTGGCGAACAAGAGCGAAGCTGCAGGGAGGGCGCACAACGTACCGTGAGTGATGAGTACGGTGCCGTCGGTGTAGACGTTTACGAGCGACGAGCCCTGGTTGAGCGGGGTGAAGGTGAAGGAGATGCCGAACTTGGTGGGAATCATGGAGATGCCGCGCTTGCGGAATCTGTTCTCCCGGTTGAACTCGGCGATGGCCTTCTTGCGCTGGCGCAGGTCGCTCTGGGCCTCGCACTGGTCCCACAGCTCGTGCAGCTTGAGGTTGATCGGCTGCCCGAAGTGGGTCTTGTCTTCGTACAGATACATATTCTTCTTACGCACGTCCTCCGGCTCCATCTCTGCCAAAAGCAGCAGCGAAGGGCTTCGTGTCAGGCCTCGAGTCTAGTCGAGCGGGGGGGGGGGGGTGGAGGGAATAGGGAAAACGCACTGAGCTGGTGGGCGATGTGTTCGACCCAGGCCTCGGTGACGATCATGCCCTGGGGACCACCGAACCCTCGGAAGGCGGTGTTCGACGGCAGGTTGGTCTTGCACACGCGACCTTCACCAGGCAAGAACAATTGATTAGCAACAGACAATGAAAATTTCATATTAATATTTCATATTAATAATAATAGAAAAATATGGGGCGGCGTACCCTTGACCCGGAAGTGGGGCACGTTGTAGACGTTGTCCGAATGGAACAGGGCGCGCTCCAGAACAGGCCACGACAGATCGTGCGAGTAGCCTCCGTTGTTGTACAACTGAAAATGGAGAAGAGACATCGTTAGCAGTGGGCCTCTGACGCTGAAGTGGTGGCAGTAGGAGCATAGCAGGTGTAGTGTAGTCGTCGTCGTCGTCGTCGTCGTCGTACCTGGACATCGACGGCAGTGATGTTGCCCTCGTTGTCGTAGCCGGCCTTGTAGGT